ATTTTAAGAATTAAAATATTACTTATCAAAGGAAAAAAAAGAAAGTCACTCTTAACCCCAACCTCTATATACAGTTACCAGTTGAATTTTCTTCATACCAGTTGAATTTTCAAATATTCACCTCCCTGAAAGAAGGACATATTTAGACTTAACATTGCCTAAATTAAAAAGAGAGAGAGAATACCAACAGCATTGAGAACAACCACAAGAAAGAAACCTTTAAACTTACCCTGTGGGTTGGCTGTGTCCGTAAAATCTTTGTTCCAGAAGTAAGCAGAGGGCACCTAGTCTCTCAGCATATGTAAGCCAGGTAGTATTCTTTAATATCCAGTTTCTATCGGCAGTTTGTGACCCTTCAGTCATCAGAAATACTGGGCCTCCGGGTTTGTAGAAGGCATCATTAACGAAATATCTCTGTGAAAGTAAAAATATTCTTGTAAGTCACTAATTCACCAGGCCTTGCAATTTGTGGTTTCTGATAACTGGGTGGCAGCATATTTTGGTTTGTCAGATTTGGGTTATGGTCCTGAGATCCCATCTGAATCAATAACATTTGCTCAAGTCACAGTGCCTACACACTGGACATATTTTTGCTTTTGGTGGTAAAACAGACCCAACACCAAATTGGCCATTTCAACCATTTTCAAGTGTACAATCCAGTGGTGTAAATTGCCCTCACAATATGCAACCGTCACTACTATCTGTTTACATTTCATGCTAATATTTTAAATTCAAAATTAGAATGTGAGATTCATGTTTGATTTTATACTTGTAGCTATTTTCTTTAAACTCTGAAAGTTTCAGTTCCTAACAACATCAACATCACTATTTGTTTGCTTTATGTAAATAATATATAGTAATACACACACATTAGAATAACAATACCAACATTAAAAAAAAACTGATGTTGCCATGGTTAAGTGCTCTCCTGCTAAATGAAAGATCAGTGGTTCAAACCAACCAACTGCCCCCGGGGATTAATGGAAGCAGAATGCCACATCTTTCTCCCAGGGAGTGCCTTCTGCATTTGAACCACTGACCTTTCGGTTAGAAGCCTAGCCTTAAACACTGCACCTTCAGGGCTTCTTCTCATAAATATCACAGCCTAGGAAACACTGAGGGGCAGTTCTACTTTGTCCTTTATGGTTACTATGAGTTGGAATCAACACTACGGCATACAGAAACTGCAACAATATTAAGAGAGAGAATATGAGTGGTTTCAGTTCTGAGTTAGAAAGGGAAGCCAAGGTAGAAAAAGGGAGAGTGCTGACACATTATGGGAATTGAAACCAATGTCACAAAATAATTTGTGCATAAATTTTTGAATGAGAAACTATTTTACTGAGTAAATTTTCACCTAAAACACAATTAAAAAAAAAAAAAAGACTGATAGTATGATTATTGAAAAGTGATTTCTTTACAATTGTTTAGGTGTGCATGCATGCTTAGGATTTATGCCACAAGTGTTATAAAGTCAGAGGGGCAGAGCCAACATGGCACTATAGACAGAAGCACCATATCATCCCTCTACAGCAAAGGCCCAAAAAACAAAGTAAAACAGAGAAAAACATCAATCCTGAAACCCTAAGCACCAAATAAAAGGATAAAGAACTCAAACAAGCACCAAATGGAATAAGTATCTAACAGAGAAAAGAGAACGAGGAGAGCTGCAGAGCAGAGGTCCCGTAACAACTAATGCAGCACGGACTCTCCATCTCAGACCCCCTCAGCCACAAAGATCAGTGGACAAGGATTACGGGAATGCAACTTCATGGAGCTCCCAGCAGGAGCCAGAACACCTGGTAAACAGAGATACACGCTTTCCCACCTTCCACCATTCTTCCCTCTGCACAGCCTCTGCCACTTTCTGGTGGGCCGTAGTCCCTCAGCCATATAGACCTCGTCTCCTTGCTGCTTGTATTCACCCTGCCCTCCCAGCCAGATTCTTCAGTGTCATTTTGTTGTTGTTGTTTTTTGCTTCTTTTTGTTTCTTCTCTCTTTCTCGCCTCCTTCATTTACTTTCTCCTGCGTATCTAGTGCCATGTGCCATCTCCACCCTTTCTGGGTGGACTGCTGCACTGCTTGACTGGGGAGCCTCTTTCCTGGTTCCTGCCGCTATGCTGGTGGGCTCCCTCAGGGCTTTTTTGGGGGGGGCGTCTCTTATCTCTCTCTACCTTCCTTCCTTTCCTTTCTCATGATCATCTGGTCACGTGTGCTATCTCTACAGCTTTTGGACATTCTGTGCCACCTTGCTTGGCTGGGGAGCCACAGGCACATGACTACACCAGTCTGGGCAGCCTCACTGGTGAACTCTTTTGGGGCACTTTTTTTTTCTTTTTTCATTCTGTTTCTTTTCTCTCTCATCCTTCCTTCTTTTCTTTTCTCTGACCAACTGGCTCCATGTGCTGTCTCTGTCATTTTTTGACAAGCTGTGACACACTGCTCAGCTGGGAAGCACTGGCACACAGCTTCCCCAGTCTGTGCCACCACATAGTTGGGCTCCACTGGCACATTTTTTTTCTCACTTTCTTGTCTCTTTCTACATTCTTTCTTTCCTGTCTCTTGATCACCTGGCCGTGTATAGCTTTTTTCTTTCTTTCATTTTTTTTTTATCTCCATCTCACTTTCTTCTTTTTCTTTCTCCCCATCATCTGATTATGTGTAAATTTATTTTGCTTTTTTTTTTCCAGTTTTTTATCTCTCTCTCCCTCCCTTCCTTTCCTTTCTTTCATCCACCTAGCCACTTGCACTGGTACTGTCCCTTCTTGATGGGCTGTGCCACACTGCCTGGTTAGAAAGCCAGTGGCACATAACTTCCCCGGGTCCACACTACTTCATTAGCAGCCTCCCTCATCAGCATTTTTTTTTTTTTAGCTTCTGTTTCTCTCTCTTCTTTCCCAAACCCACTTAGCTCTACACATCCCATGCTCAGCTTTCCCTCCTGCCTAACTGCACCTCATGTTGAGTGCCACACTCTTAAGGGGCACAAGTGCAAACTACCTGACCCTGCCGTGCACTGCCCGAGGCCCCACTCTGCTGAACCCAGAAAGGGCTAGAAATGACCCATCCCCAATTCTACCCCACGATTGGACCTACCCTGCTGGACCATAGCTGAGCAACCAGTGCTGACCATCTGGACAAGATGTTGAGAAGCATGATCTTTTGGTTAGCAGCTAAGCTCTTAACCACTGCTCTACCAGGAATGCAATAATGGGAAGAGCATCAAAAAAAGAAAATAACATATGGAAACTGAATAATACCCTGCTTAGAAACCACTGAGTAATGGAATAAATCAAAGACGGAATCAAAAAATTCACAGAAGTAAATGAGAATAAAAACACATCATATCAAAACCTTTGGGACACAGCAAAGGCAGAGCTCACAGGTCAATTCATAGCTATAGACATACCAAAAGAAAAAGAAGAGACAAAATCAAACATTAGCTACACAACTGGAACAAACAGAAAGAGGACAGCAAAAGAAGCCCACATGTAAGTCCATCCACCTTCAGTCATCCGATCTTCGACAAGTGCTCAAAATCCATCAAATTGGGAAAAGACAGTCTTTTTAAAAAATGGTGCTGGCAAAATTGGATGTCCATCTGCAAAAAAATGAAACACGACCCATACCTCACACCATATACAAAAACTAATTCAAAATGAATCAAAGACCTAAATATGAAGCCAAAAAATATAAGGTTCATAGAAGAAAAAATAGAACCAATGGTACAGGCCCCAATACACGGTATTAACAGGATACAAACCATAATGAACAACATAAAAACCCTAGAAGATAAGCTAGACTACTGGGATCTTCTAAAAATTAAACACTTATGCTCATCAAAAGACTTCACCAAAAGAGTAAAAAGAGAAGCTATAGACTGGGAAAAAATTTTTTGGACATTACAGGTCAGACAAAGGTCTAATCTCTAAAATCTACAAGAAAATCCAACACCTCTACAACAAAAAGACAAATAACTCAATTAAAAAATGGGGAAAGGAAATGAACAGAGACTTCACCGAAGCAGACATTCAAACGGCCAACAGACACATGAGGAAATGCTCACGATCACTAGCCGTTGGAGAAATGCAAATTAAAACCACAATGAGATACCATCTCACCCTGGCATTACTGGCACAAATCAAAAACACTGGAAATAACAAATGTTGGAAGGGTTGCAGGGAGATCGGCACTCTTACGCACTGCTGGTGGGAATGCAAAATGATACAACCATTTTGGAAAATGATATGGCGCTTCCTTAGAAAGCTTGAAATAGAAATACCATACGGTCCAGCAATCCCACTCCTAGAAGTATATCCTAGAGAAATAAGAGCCGTCACACGAATAGACATATGCACACCCATGTTCATTGCAGCATTGTTCACAATAGCAAAAAGATGGAAACAACCTAGGTGCCCATCAACAGACGAATGGATAAACAAACTATGGTAGATATACACAATGGAGTATTATGCAAAGGTAAAGAACAATGATGAATCTGTGAAGCATCTCATAACATGGGTAAAACTGGAGGACACCATGCAGAGTGAAATAATCACAAAAAGACAAATATTGTATGAGACCTCTACTGTAAAAACTCATGTAAAAGTTTACACATAAAAAGAATGAATCTTTGTTGGTTACGAGGGATGGGAGGGGTGGAGGGGGAAACTAAATAGGCAATAGATAAGTGGTAACTTTCGTGAAGGGTAAGACACTACAAAATACTGGGGGAGCCAGCACAACTTGTACCAGGAAATGTTATGGAAGCTCCATAGACATATCCAAACTCCCTGAGGGACTGAATTGCTAGGCAGAGGGCTGTGCAGACCATTATCTCAGGGAACATCTAGTTCAATTGGCATAAGAGAGTTTATGAAGACAACGTTCTACATTCTACCTTGGTGAGTAGCGTCTGGGGTCTTAAAAGCGTGTGAGGAGCCATCTAAGATACTCCATTGGTCTCACCCCTTTGGGAGCAAGAGAGAATGAAGAGAACAGGATACAAGGAAAAGATTAGTCCAAAGGACTAATGGACCACAGCTACCAAGGCCTGCACCAGCCTGAGTCAAGTACAGCTAGATGGAGACCGGTTACCACCACTGACTGCTCTGACTAGGATCACAACAGAGGGTCCTGGACAGAGCTGGAGAAGGATGTAGAACAAAATTGTAACTCACAAAAAAAAGACCAGATTTACTGGACTGACAGACTGGAGAAACCCCAAGCATATGGCCTACAGACACCCTTTTAGCTCAGAGGTGAAGTCACTCCCAAAGTTCACCATTCACCCAGGGATTAGACAGCCTCATAAAACAAACTGGGACTAATAAGCCACAGCAGTCCTGGGACAAGGACTCTAAGGCAGGAGGGGATAAGAAAGATGGTGATAGGGAACTCAAATTTGAGTAGGGAGAGTGTTGACATGTTATGGGGTTGTTAACCATTGTCATAAGGCAATACGTGTACTAACTATTTAATGAGAAACTACTTGTTCTGTAAACCTTCATGTAAGGTACAAAAAAAAAGAAATTATCTATGTAAGATCAAATTGACAATAGCAACTCAAAAGGTTTGATGGGAAGCCTAGGGGCCAGTGAGTTGAAGATAATGGTGATGGAATAATTTGGAAAAGATTAGTGAGAATAGCAGCACAACTGGAAGAATGTAATCAATGTCACTGAATTGTACATGCAGAAATTTCTGAAATGTTGTACGCTTGCCTATGTATATTTTGACCAAAAGAAAAAAAATAGTCCTCCAAGATTGAGAAGGGAGAGTGTTGACATGTCGTGGGGTTGTTAACCAATATCATAAAACGATACGTGTTCTGACTGCTTAATCAGAAACTATTTGTTCTGTAAACCTTCACCTAAAGTGCAATAAAAAAATATTTTAAAAAAAGAATCCCTCACCCACTAGAAGAAAGGAAATAATAAAGATCAAAGCAGAAATAAATGAAATACTGAAAATAAAGATAATAGGAGATCACCAAAACGAAAAGGTGGTTCTTTGGCAGAAGCAAAACCATTGGCAAAATTGACAAAAAAAAAAGCAGAGGAGGCAGATAACCCAAATAATAAATGAAATGAGGGACATTACAACACACTCTTCTGAAATAAAAAGGATCATAACAGACTACTATGAAAAACTAAACTCATAGACATTTGAAATCCTATAGGAAAAGGACAAATTACTAGAAACACACTACTTACCAAAACTAACACAAACTGAAGTTCATAACCTGAAGAAACTTATAACAAGAGAAGAAAATGAAAAGCTAATTAAAAAAAAGAAAAAAACTCCCAACAACAAAAAAGCTCTGGCCCAGATGGTTTCACTGAAGAATTCTACCAAACATTCAGAGAAGAGCTTACATCAAACTACTCAAAATATTTCAGAAGATAAGAGAGGAAGAGATACTTCTGAATTCTTGCTATAATGCCAGCATAACTCTTATACCAAATGCAGCAAAGATACTACAAAAAAAGAAAATTACAGACCAGTATCTCTCATGAACATAGATGCAAAAATTCTCAACAAAATTCTACCCAATAGAATTCAGCATCATATCAAAAACATAATACACCACAAACAAGTGCGATCTATAACACGTATGCAAGGATGGTTCAACATTAGAAAATCAATCAACATAATCCACCACATAAATAAAATAAAGGAAAAGAATCACATGATCATCTCAATTGAGACAGAAAAGGCATTCAATAAAGTTTAACACCCATTCCTGATAAAAACTCTCAATAAAATAGGTAGAGAAGGGAAATTCCTCAACATAATAAAGGGCATCTATACAAAACCAAGAGCCAACATTATTCTTAATGGAGAGAGGCTGAAAACATTCCCCTTGAGAATAGGAAAGAGATAAGTTTGTCCTTTATCACCACTCCTATTTAACTTTGGTCTTTAAGTGTTAGCTAGAGCAATAAGGCAAGAAAAAGAAATAAAGGGAATTGAAATTGGTAATGAAGAAGTAAAACTGTCCCTTTTTGTGGATGATATGATACTATACATAGAAAACTCAAAAGACCCTAGGAGAAAACTACTGGAACTAAAAACAAGATTCCACAGGGTAGCAGGATACAAGATAAACATACAAAAATAAGTTGGATTCCTATACACCAATAAAGAGATTGACAAAAAAAAAAAAAAATCAGGAAAACAATACCATTTATAATAGTCCCTATAAAAATAAAATACTTAGGAATAAATCTAACCAGGGATGTAAAAGACCTACTACACAAAGAAAGCTACAGGAAGAAACTAAAAGATACCTATATAGATGAAAAACCATACCGTGTTTATGGATAGGTAGGCTCAACATTGTGAAAATGTCAATTCTACCCAAACAAATCTGCAAATCAATCTACAAATACAATGAAATCTCAATCTAAATACCAATAGCATTCTTTAAAGAGATGGAAAAACTAATCATTAACTTTATATGGAAAGGGAAGAGGCCCTGAGTAAATAAAGCACTAGTGAAGAAGAATAAAGTAGGAAGACTCGCACTTCCTGACCTCAGAACCTACTATACAGCTATGGTAGTCAAAACAGCCTGGCACTGGTGGAATAACAGATACACTGACCACTGGAAACGAACTGAGAACCCTGATGTAAATTCATGCACCTGTGGTCACCTCATCTTCGACAAGGGCCCAAAGTCCATCAAATGTGGGAAAGACAGTCTTTTTAACAAAAGGGGCTGGCAAAACTGGATATCCATCTGCAAAAAAAAAAAAAAACACCCATACCTCACACCAAACACAAAAACTAATTCAAAATGGATCAAAGACCTAAATATAAAACCAAAAAGTATAAAGTCCA